ACGGGAAAGCAATGATAAAAACAAGCAACTCATGACAGAGTAACAGCCATCTCGGAAATTCAAAAACTGACAAAGATACGAAAGATACGTTTCACCTTCGATAAATTCTCTCGAATACGATCTCTACCTTTTTGTGATGAGACAAGATGTCAAAACTAAAAATCTATACTTGGGCGCCAACACCTCTCGGTACTGCAGTCGTCATCAACTTTCTGTAATTGGCTCCAATACAACTGTTGGTGAAGCTGTTATCAGGAGTGGTCTGTCCTCTACTGAGAGGGACAAATACTAGTCGTACTTCTATTTCTAGACGTCTAACTATTCCTTTTGTTTTAAAGGACCACTAATATTCCAGTTTGAGCGAAAATTCAGCCCTGAGGATTTATCACGGTTCGTACTTTTCTGAATTTTCTAACTTATCAGCGACTCGGAGGAGTATTTTAATACTCTTTAAAAAGACTTTTAAAAACTGAGATGTCATGACGGCGAGGACAACGAGAACTTCAATAAAGCAATAGGTTGAATAGGCAAAACAACAACTCTGCACGTGCATCACGCTTTTTTGTACATTTCTTTGCCGTCACTGCTCGAGTACGACGGGAAAATGCCTAATTTCACATTTTATGGAGGACGTAAACAAGCGACGGCTAAATTTTCTTTCTCTTTCTGAACTTGAACATGCTTCTTTGGAATTCGGCTCAAAAAGAGTTCGCTTGCATTTGACAAAGTAAATGAGTTGGATTAATCGCGATAGAGATTGAAAAAAGGCAAATTTACTTAGTTTTAAAAAGCGACGTTTTCGTGGCGTTCACCGTCGTGATATCTTAAACTCCCTATTCTGAGTTGTACCACATCCTGTTCAGATTTGTATTTCATGCGGCATTGCTGTTATACGAATACCCTTTATTCCAAACTAATCGTACATTCCCTCTTGAGCTGAGCTAGCTTGTTACGCTGCTTTTTGAGATACTCATTCCTTTTTGTAAAAAAAGGAAACAAAAACAATCGCTTGGAATTGGGAAACTTATCAGTGTATCCATTTTAAGGGTCACACAGTTCACAACTTATCCAATCGTTACAGCGCATTAGCTAGCTCAGACGTGAGGTCCTTCAGAGTTTTAAGTCATTCAGAAAGGTCGAAGCAATGGCCAAAATGGAGCTCGAATTTATCGTTTTGGAACATGGTATCAGTTTTCTTGGTTCTTTGTGGAACCACATCACTAATATTCAGTTTCACACTAATGCAAAGGAATGATGGAATTCTTCCGCACAGAGCATCATATGATAGAGTTCGCTCGATCATTGTTTTTTTTTTTTACATTTTATCACGCATGGTTTCTTTCAAACTTAACCCTTTAAGCACTAAGGGTGATCAGCATGAAATTTCTCCTTATAATATCAATGCTTTCGAATACATATTGGTCATGAGAATTGAGTACATAATCAGGGAAGATGACGCTAGTTGATATTTCAACAAATTCTCCCCCACCACCTCTGTTGAAAAAGTATAGGGACCTTAAATGAGAATCTCAATTTTGATGTTAGTGTTTAAAGGGTTAAAGGGAGGATCCACGGGCACGGTTCACGGACCACGAAAATGACTAGTCGCGGATCACGGATAATTAACAATTATTGGACGAGGTTGAGCAAAATATCGTGATTTGTCTGTTGCGAGCAGATCAATTATTTGCGAAGCCGAACACTGACAAATCACGATATTTTGCGATAACCGAGTTCAATAATTGTTTTATCATTCGATCACCACGTTTGTTTTTTTTAATGAATATCCTTGGGAAGCGAAGGGATCTGCCATTTTCACGCAAGAGCGATCGCAAGAAGGAGAAAAGCACGGTTTTCTTTACGCATGAGCAGAAAATTATTTGCAGCCAAACACTGTTGGACGGCATTGTATATGAACAGACCATTATTTGTAGGCAGTTATTTGAAGGTCATGTGGTGGGCTCTTGGCCAATGAAAAGAAAGAATAATTTGCTTCGAATGATGATAAGATTTCATTTTCACAAGTCATGATATAGTCAGCATGTGAAGCCGCTCCTTGATCCTGTCCTTACGCATAGAAAAAGTCGCAAAGAGGTGTGTGAAAACACAGCATAGGGGCGACAAGGAAAAGAAAGACTACAAATTGCAAATTTCAGAATATCATCGCTCTTTATAGATAACTCTAATAATTGTCTACTACGTGTAGTGCCGGGTGGAGGAAACATTTTAAGTTGTCATCCGCACTATCTTCCGTAGGATCGTCCGAGTCTGAATAACTGCATGACATTTAAAGAAAAAAAAATTAAGCAGCAAGTTATCATTAGTTTAGACGGTTTAGGTATCAAACAGGTAGAATCAGCCAGATTCTTAGGAGGTCATATAGACGGAAATATTAACTGGAAAAATCAAATAAGTTGTGTTTGTAGAAGCAAAACTTTCTGGTATACTTTGTCGAGCAAGGCATTATCTACCTCGTGTTGTTATGCGGGGTCTATATTACGCATTTTATCTATCCCTACTAAGTTATGATAACATTGTATGGGGAAATACGTGAACAACAAGACTAGAACCAATGCAATAAGAAGGCTATAAAAAAAAATTAAAGTATAAGGATCATTACTTTTTTAAATAAAAAAAACATACTGGTTCTATCTTCAAACAACTATCGATTTTACCTTTCGATTATATAAAAAAATGAAGCCATTGCTTCGTCCATGTCTCGACACTTCAATAACAATCTACCGTCATCTTTTCAATGATTTCTTTTGTCTGAACAAAGACATTCATCAATAAAAGACAAGATCATCCTCTAACGTTCACGAATTCCAAGCAAGAACTAACGCTGCTTGCAAACGGACGCAACAACTCCCAACATTGTTGCGCCAACAATGCTGGGAGTTGTTGCGTGCGTGTTGGCAGTGCTGTTCAAACGGATGCAACAACTCCCAACAATGTTGGGACCTGCGGTGCATCGTGGGAAGGATAAAACCCATAAGTCTTTGTAAACCATGCGTAATGAGTGTGCGTGGTCCCAACAATGTTGGAAGAGCTGTGCAAACGGGTCCAACATTGTTGCGCTACGCTTTGGCGATCACAGAACAAAAGAAATGTTGGGAGTGGTTGGCTGAAAAGTTTGACCGGTTTCAAACTTTGCACAACAACACGCAACAACATCCAAAAACATGCAACAGGGCGTGCAAACGGACGTAACATGTAACATCCAACAATGTTGGGAGTTGTTGGCCAACAATGTTGCGTCCGTTTGCACGAGGCTTAACTACCAAAAACACATACAAAGGAGTTTCAATATGGAATAACTTGACAAAATCAGTATAAAAAATATTAAGACATTTGACTTGTTCAGGAAAAAAATTGAAACTGCTTTTTTCCACAGGCAAGAAAATTAGAATTTCACTATTATATACAAACGTATTTCGTGAATAATCAATCTTCGTTACTTCTCCTCGCAACACAGCCATATCCTTTTCATAGTCTTAAATATAATCATTGTAGTAAACTTGTTTAGAGGCTCTCCTCGTAAAGCCTTAAAGGTTTTGCTGAGAACTCCTGCCCAGATATAATATTATCTTTTAAATATTTTTCTGCAATAAGCATGTGAAAGGATGAATAAATGAAATGAAATGAATCTGTGTCGACTCTTCCTCACCCTCTTTAACCTCTGCTTTATCTACTGCTTACCTCTGAATGCGCTCGCACTATCCTCTCGTGACATAGAAGTCATTCCTCTTGTTGCTGAAGGAACAAACTGCTTATCGACTACAGATGGGCTGAACGAGTCAGGGTCTCCAAGACAAGACAAGACAAGACAAGACAAGACAAGACATTTATTATCGTAACATTACAAGTACAATTGTTTGTTACGCAGTTAGCAAGAAAACGCTAGTCGAGGCATGCCAAATTAATTCTACTACAACTCAGATATTATATTATAATAAGTAAAAAGCAAAGAAAAAGAAAAGAAGAAATATGTGTAATGAATTCAAAAGCAAGAAAGGCAAATCTGTTTAATGCAACCTGTGAAAGAGGCTAAGGATTAGGATTTCGCGATTTTATTTCTTGTGTTATCATGGTTGCATCAAGGTAATCATCGTTGTCGTTTAATATTTCGAAGAGCACGCTGATTAATTTTCGTTTGAACACTTTTTTGACATATCTCTCATTCTACCTGGTATCTCACTCCATACTTTAGTGCCAAAAATTGGGACGGCTTGTCTTAGTTTTTCAAGATTAAATTTTTTGATGTGCATATTATTTTTAGAGGATGATCTTGTGTTATATTCATGAATAGATGATGTCTGCGAGAACAAGTTAATGATTTTTGAGGGTGCAGAATTAGTATGAATATCATGCATTAGGTAAGATACGGACTATCGAAATTTGTGAAGTCGCGCATTTTTCTCTTAACGGGTTTAATTCTATCTCTTGCTGATCTGAATATACAAAACTGCGAGAAATGGTCACTTACATCAGAAATTATGTTGCCACTCAATGATACACAATCAGGATTATTTACAAATAACTCGCGAAGGTTTGTCAATGGTAGGAATGAGATAACAGCTCTGAAGAGATAATAGAAAGTTTTGACTAAATTCCGATGCCTCACTTTTCAAAAGACAAAGATTGAAATCACCCATGACGCAAACATTTTTCCCAGTAGAGATAAATTTTTCTAGAGTTTGTTCAAAATACTCTAAGAAACGTTCGGGAGATAATGCCGATGAGGCGCCATCTTGCGACTTGTAAGTTACAAGCTTCGAAAGCTTCTCAACCTCCTCTTTGGTCGCTTGTAAATCGGTTTCAACTTTTCGTGTTCTTTTCTAAGTTTATCCATCGGTTTCTTCCGCTTTGCTTTAGGTTTTAGTAATAGAAATTTAACAGAGATTTACACCGAACTAGAGCTCAAAAATAGCGCGACCTACTCGTTCGAAGGCCATGCCCAAAGTCGGTCTCCAATGTAGACATTGTATACTGTAGTCTCT